AGGTTTATCGCAAGCGTATAAGAAATTTGAATGAAAATTGTGTTTAATGCATTTTATCTTTTTTCATAAAATGTTTTATAACATCCAAGTACCTATCATTAACTAATCAGTTAATATTCAAAATTTCATGATATTGTCAATCATCTGTGCTGCAAACACCTATGCCATTTACATAGAAAAAAGGAGATCCTGAACAGTTGTCTAGGGCTTTCACCTCTTCAGATCATCTAGGGATGAGTATTTATTTTGTTTACATTTTGTTTGGATTAAAAAAGAATAAGAAAAAATTGTTCAAGATTGATTAGATTTTTAATATATATATATATATATGTATATATCCTATATAAGTAAACTAACTCAAGGGACTAACAATTAGCTTCCTCAAGCATGCATACCTGTTGTAATAGTTGGTGCTGGACCCAAACTTTATCGTAAAAACAACACTAAGAAAAAGAGATAAATAATTCAATAGTAGGATATACATTTCGTCCATCTGTAAAACCTTCATTATACCTATTGGTTATAACCTATGTCATAGGCTGTGTCAAAATATTCTATTACCGAAACAATTTGACGTCGGTGTTGGTCTTTACATTTAAATTTTAAATTGATAAAAACCACACGTTTTGTTTTATGATACTGCATATCATTATAATATATCATAAAGATAAATGCTTCAATTTCTACATACATATATATATATCAAGATTAATTAATTGGAATCATACTAGTTTTGCCTACATACTGTATTACCCATAAGATACGGTGTCATTATTTCTCCAAGGTTGAAAGAGCTCTAAGGTCGTAATTGGAAGAAACCACAATTTTCGGCTCAGAACATTCCATATTTCGGAATCTATGAAACTTGTGGAACAAATCTATGTTATTCTATTTCAATGTTCACTTCTGTTCTTCTCGTTACATTGCAGGCCTCTTGATGAAGCGTAGATATTTAGTTTACAATAAATATGAAACAAGTTATTTCATATTATATTAATCATTGTTATTGTATTTTTTACACGATATTTGATAAATTTAGATATTTTTCTTTCAGATGGAGACTTCAAATCCTTGTTGAGCGAGGAAATGGTGAACAAACGCCCTATAAATCTGTAAATACGGAAGCAACGTATCCATGGTTGTTACTTTCACTGATTACGTTCAACACTTCCTCGTCAATTTATCCCACTCATTTAATATTCATGTTATGTAATTTACTCGATAAAACCAGATTCATTGAGCCTCCTACATCCAACAACGAAAAAGTAAACTGTTAACCCGCATCATAGCCATGTAAAAAACATTATCAGATCAACAACATTACACACAGGCACATGAACAAATATTTATGCAGGAATTATAATTATTAACCTTTTTATGGCTTCCTGTATCGTCATATCAATTTTAGGTGCTTTTCTTACTTTGTTTTGCCAGTAATTGTTATTAGACAGTATTTTGCAACTTCATTTTAACAAATAAATATGATATTTGTGATTTTTACTCTTAGTTTCGTTCATATATTTATTTCAACATATTGTTGAATATATATTTAAACCAACCTGACAAATGAATCCTTTTTAATCAATGTGATTCATCCGAGTGTTTCTGAGGGCGTTTTTTTTTTTTTTTTTTTTTTTTTTTTTTTTTTTTTTTTTTTTTAGTTGAGCTTCAATGATTCCATAAAAGTCTGTTTCTATCTGGAATGTGACTTAGGTGAAGTGACTTCTGGTAAAGGAAGTATTTAATTAGACATTAACGCCTTTATTCCCCTATGTATTGTGTCGATCGTACTGATGCCATACTAAACTTACATATGTGTATTGATTGTTACGTCACTTGTTTGTGAGAGTAACGTCATTAATTTTTGAGAAAACGACGCAATTTTCTCACACAAACCAATGACGTAACATTCAGTACCTGTTCCCAAGAGAAGATAACCCTGCAATACGCAAAGACGGAATAAAGGTAGATACAGGTTATTCATTCACAATCAAACGGCAAACACTCTAGAGTATATTTACATTATTTCAACACAAACAAATTATGAAAAAAAGCATATTTTCGTCATAAACACCACACTACGTAAATGTCATAGCTCCCGTGGTGATAATAGAGATATACTGAGAATAGTTCTGTCTACTAGCCCACACATCTCTGTACGTGTGACGTCAATGACCTCCGCTTATTTTGATTATCTAACATCATCTTTGAAAACGAAATTAACTGTATTTACAAAATATTGATATTATTATATAAAGCAAAATTAAGGAAGACAAAATAACGGTTTCTTTTCAATAGCGGTTGTTGTGGAAGACAAAATAGCGGTTTTTATTCAGGGACACATTGTTGTGGAAGACAAAATAGCGGCTACGATTCAGTGACAGATAGCTGAGGAAGACAAAATAGCGGTTACGATTCAGTGACAGATTGTTGTGGAAGACAAAATAGCGGGTTTTTTTCAGGGACAGATAGCTGAGGAAGACAAAATAACGGTTACGATTCAGTGACAGATAGTTGAGAAGGACAAAATAGCGGTTACGATTCAGTGAAAGATAGTTGAGAAGGACAAAATAGCGGTTTTTATTCAGGGCCAGATAGTTGAGGAAGACAAAATAGCAGTTACGATTCAGTGACAGATAGTTGAGGAAGACAAAATAGCGGTTACGATTCAGTGACAGATAGTTGAGGAAGACAAAATAGCGGTTACTATTCAGTGACAGATAGTTGAGGAAGGATATCGGATGTAGATATATGTTACATTGTTTGTAGTATTTTTATTGTAAAAGTCATAGATATACTATTCCTGTTTTGTTACTGATACATTTCAAGAAGAAAATCCCAAATAAAACGATGAATATATAAAAGATTTAATATCAACACGTAAAAAAGTATCAAGCTGGTATATTAATATACGTATCAAAAATCATAAAATCTTAAACTTATGTGAGTTCGCCTCTATTTTCAGTTTGACACATATAAGACACTATCTTGTCATTAATTGTTATTTGTCTTTTTATTTTGTGTAATGTGATTATGAAATATTTGTGTCGAAACAACGAGTTGTACTGCAACGGAAAAAAATGGCAACTTATATTGACTGTACTTCTGTTACAACCACTTTGCTTCTATATAGCTTTAATTAAGTCCATCATCGAGTGACAAATTGATCATACCGACGTTATTGTATGTTAAATCTTACCAACACTATTGTATGTTAAATCTTACCGACGTTATTGTATGTTAAATCTTACCGACGTTATTGTATGTTAAATCCTACCGACGTTATTGTATGTTAAATCTTACCGACACTATTGTATGCTGAACCTGACCTCTATTGTATGTTAAATCTTACCGACACTATTGTATGCTAAACCTGACCTCTATTGTATGTTAACCCTTGCCGACATTATTGTATGTTAAACCTTACCGACACTCTTGTATGCTAAACCTTACTGACACTTTTGTATGCTAAACCTGACCTCTATTGTATGTTAAACCTTGCCGACATTATTGTATGTTAAACCTTACCGACACTCTTGTATGCTAAACCTTACCGACACTTTTGTATGCTAAACCTGACCTCTATTGTATGTTAAATCTTACAGACACTATTGTATGCTAAACCTGACCGCTATTGTATGTTAAACCTTGCCGACATTATTGTATGCTAAACCTTACCGACGTTATTGTATGTTAAATCTTACCGACACTATTGTATGCTTAACCTGACCTCTATTGTATGTTAAATCTTACCGACACTATTGTATGCTAAACCTGACCTCTATTGTATGTTAAACATTGCCGACATTATTGTTTGCTAAACCTTACCGACGTTATTGTACGTTAAATCTTACCGACACTATTGTATGCTAAACCTGATCTCTATTGTATGTTAAATCTTACCGACACTATTGTATGCTAAACCTGACCTCTATTGTATGTTAAACCTTGCCGAAATTATTGTATGTTAAACCTTACCGACACTCTTGTATGTTAAACCTTACCGACGTTATTGTATGTTAAACCCTACCGACGTTATTGTATGTTAAACCCTACCGACACTTTTGTATGTTAAACCTTACCGACACTTTTGTATATTAAAACTTACCGACGTTATTGTATGTTAAACCTTACCGACGTTATTGTATGTTAAACCTTGCCAACATAATTGTATGTCAAACCTTACCGATACCTTTGTATGCTAAACCTTACCGACACTTTTGTAGGCTAAACCTTACCGACACTATTGTATGCTAAACCTTACCGACGTTATTGTATGTTAAACCCTACCGACACTTTTGTATGTAAAACCTTACCGTCACTTTTGTATGTTAAACCTTACCGACACTTTTGTATGCTAAACCTTACCGACACTTTTGTATGCTAAACCCTACCGACGTTATTGTTTGTTAAACCTTACCGACACTTTTGTATGCTTAACCTTACCGACACTTTTGCATGCTAAACTTTACCGACATTTTTGTATTCTAAACCTTACCGACACTTTTATTTGCTAAACCTTACCGACGTTATTGTATGTTAAATCTTAAATATATTTTCAAAATGAATTCTAAGAGAAAATATTACAAACCACGGAAATTAACAAGTACTTGAACTTTAAGCATTATGCAATCCCAGCGTTCAGCAACTGTGGAAAACAAATTCATAATTGAATCTATCGATAAAAATCCCTGACTATAGTTGCTATAACGTAGGTGTATAGAAAGTTTCAATTTATAACAATTTCCCCCTGAAAATGTACTGTACTGTTCACCGAGATCTACTCGCTAGCTGTAGGCCTACTCTACGTAAATAGTGTCTTCTGTTGTTTGTAACGGTCCGTTAAGTCTGTGTAGGTCTCCGCTAATGTAGCTTCTATGTACGCACACAGACGCTTGTCAATGAATACACCTTGCTTCATGATGACGACATCAAGGTTATTGTACCACGTGATCTTACCTAGCCAATCGGCGAGTTGCCTCTGCCGGAGGATTAAATACGTCAACCCACGGCAGGGAAGCCTCATAACGATAGTAGAACTTGGAGTATACAGACGGCTGGCCCGTCCGAACAACAATTTTGTAGATTTGTTTATTGTTTAAATGTAAATATCTTGTACACAAAGGAAAAATGGCACCGAGTCCTGTAGATGAGCTTGCCCTATTGGACTTGGAGAGGTAAGTTTTCTATGTTGTATGTTTACATATTGTATTGATAGCTCTGACATTTCTGGGCGGGGAGTGGTCCACTATCTGTCGTAGTATTGAATTGACAGTGATCCTACTTCAGCCTGTATGTAAATATGACAGACAGTGATATAGAAGACAAGATTGTGATGTTTTGGTGACCGAGATATGTAAGGTATTTGCCTGGTTTCTCGTTATCCATACCTGGTGGTAGAACGAAAATGGGCGCCATTACACCGAGCCCTGCGCACCTGTTTCAGCCTAGATGATTCACACACCACATACACACAGTGTTAACGTCAGAAAGGCTATACATAGATACAAGAGTGGCTGTAGCCGACGGGCATACGTTCGGCGGATTTAATTACGCTTCTAGGTTATACTGATGTTAGAAGGTCTGTCATAAACTCTAATAATGGCATTGTCATTTATATCTTCTCTGTTTTAACACCACGGATGTAATACCTCCTAAATTACTGCTTTCTTTTTCGTCTTATTACTTAATTGCCTTATTTTCGTCGTTTTTTATGATGTTTATGTAGGAACATACCTTTCTTATATTCAAAATAAAATTTTGATCCATATTACCTCCGGGGAAAGTCCTGTCTCGTAGCCTTGTCGATATATATAAATGTATTTATTTCAGTACCTTCTTTGAATTATGGTGCCGATTAAAGTAAAAGGAAACCATACATGTTAAGATTTTAAAATCATCAGAACCAATTTTGTCATCTTGAACTCTTGTTCTACAGGTCCAACAAGGGAGCCTCAAAGCAGAGGCGTGACCAGATTAACTCAGAAATTGGGGTAATGAGGGACCTTCTGCCCCTGCCCGAGAGTTCACGACAGAGGTTGTCACAACTTCAGGTCATGTCACTGAGCTGTGTTTTCATCAGGAAATGTAATATTCTCCAGAAAAGTAAGTTATATTTCTTTTAAATACTGTCATAAAGACATTTATAACATTGTCCGTATTGTTGTTTTAACTAATTTGCCTATACATAATATTGTCTTATATATAAAATTGTCGACACGGTTTATGCTTACATTTTAGTAATTTTTGTTAAAGCTTAAATATGACATTAAAAACAGTATATTTTCGGCAACATGCCACTAGGTTATCGTCTGCATTTTGAATTTATTATTAGTTGTTTTCATTTAAATGTGAAAGTTGGTAGGAGTATTCTTGCTAAAGTCCTATTTTTTTCCATATAAGGCATGTTGGATTTTCCTATGAGTTTGATGATACTTCCTTATTACGCAAGTTGAATATCCGGTTTTTAGTAAAAAATACACCAACATGAATAATTCGTAGCTGATCTAAACAAACATACTTTAATATTAAATCCCTTTGAAACAGATATACATGTTTGAAATTAATTTCATTTTTAGTGATACAACCCCAATCATGCCCTAACGATGCCCCGTGCGAATTTTCACAGGTAAGAATGATTTTTTTAAATATGGTATAACACTATTAAACATTTCTAAGTATGTCTATCACGTGAGTGTGGAGTGATCGGGGTCACCGATGACGTAAGAAAAAGGTCATGTTTGTTAACGCGGCGGGGATCAGCTTCCAGTGAGGTCTATTTACTCAACGTTCCGCTCTGCTGATCCAAGTGACCTCGTTTTAACTAGTCGGTTTATGAAATATGTTAGCAAACTGATGTACGCCTGTCATTAAAATGACATTACATCAAAGAGTCTTCAAATAAAATATTTTAATATGCGTTATGTGTTTAAAGCCAATGCGTGCCTTTGTAATGGAGCTAATACACAGTGTGGCCCCAACTTGAGGTCAGAGTTTAAATTTAAAAATCTTTTGACGTCATCTAGTGCTTCAATAATTGTGGGCCGTACTTTAGATAAAAGCGATTTAAAAACCCTGTTTGAATAGCCGATTGTCCTAGCTGCCGGTCTAATCCGCGTGTGTTTATATATGCTTTGGTGACGGATCAGACCATATTGTCCTCGCGTACCCACAATGCTGGCAGTTCGAACGTACTTGGTTAACTATACTTGCATGGTTGTTTGCTCTGTGGGTTCAAAAGACAGGACTGCACCGAAAGCCTTTGCGCTAATGCCATTTCATAAGAATAAAAATCCTTTAATGGAGCACTCAAATGGATCTCGCCACTGAATCAACATTTTGTTTCTGACCTCAATCACGTGATTGCATATGGTGTACACGAGAATGATGTGCTGTTGGTTTGAGCGTGTGATAGAGCATATGCTACAGACGCGATATGTTTCTTTAGAACGTAACCCACATTGAGGTAGAGTCCTGGGAAGGCGCCAACTTTTTATGATACAGGCGAGAGTGTTCTAACAGGAGGGTTAAATACAGGTCTGCCTCAAACATTAAACTGCATGAACACTACCCCAGTGTTGCTTAATGAGAAAAAGTTCTATTAAGATATTGGCAGATTTCTAAGTTTCTTTCTTCTTCATTACAGCAATGTCGGCCACATTTGCTCATTACTGAAGCCCTTCTGACTCCATTTACGATAACGGTGCCAGAATGTGAACGCATAGAATAAGTTGATAGCGTAACGATTTTAGACTGCTTCCCTTTAGTGAGATTGTTGTAGAGAATTTGGGTGGGAACACGTGCAAGCCCGTGCTGTGTCCCCGGTATCAATGTGTGTACGTATCCCCCTGATAGTGTCTGACCTGTGACCCCAGCACACAAAAATAAATGTGTAGTGTAAGTGAATGTGCTGCATTATGTTATGGCGTATCTTCCAGATGACATGTTTATGACCCGTATTGGCAGTAAGCGTCACACCCTGGACAACTTGTTTGATAAAGTCGTTTTTATCGTTACAGTCACTGACTGGGTTTCTCCTCGTCACAACCAGAGATGGCAAGCTGGTCTACATCTCAGAGAACGTTACGGAGTACCTGGGACACTCAATGGTAGGCTACAATCATTGTTATCTCCAAGCGGAAGAATAGAGCTTCTGAAAAAAATAATTCGGTAAAGCATAAAAAAATAGATTGGAGACCTCTTGTGACATCAATCGAAAACAATATAATGTTTAAAAAACTTTGTTATAATAAATACCGCTTAAAACGGAATGTCATGTCAAACTTAATCTGTTACCTTTATTTAGGTTGATATGAAGACCCAAGGAGACAGTTTATTTGACATCGTCGACAAACGTGACCATGGTACTGTGCAGGCACAGTTGATGCATGGAGGAGGAGATATTGACAAGAAGCAGCCGATCAGTTTTTTCTGTCGGATGAATATGTCAAGGACTCTCAAGCGACAAGCTGGCTTTGGTGATGTCAAGGTAGGTTGATGCTCTAACCTCTAGTTCTGGCACGAGTGTTTTGTTGACCTTCTACCTACGGTAAGGGAGTGTTCGAAACCCTTTACTGGAACATATTTGTCGGGTGAAGGTGATTCAGGAAACTGGACCTGTCCATATGTAAACAATACAGTTCAGAAAGCGATAAGATGTTATTGTAGTTTGGTCGGTATCGCGGAAATCGCTGTTAGGTGAAGTACAACATCCGGGCAAGCTTTAAACCCTCAAACTGTTATTTCTCACGAGTATAATAGACCTCAACCAGAAACACAAAATACGCTTTAAAAGTTTAAGAGGGGATTATATTTGTTTTTAAGATTAAGTTTTTATTATCAATTCGCCAGGATATATTTTTAAAATTCAAATGGAGATAAAATTGAATCATAAGACAAAAATGGAAACAATCTAAATGCAAGGAAATAGTATCAGTTATATATATTTCAATCTTATGATGATGAGACATACACAGCAGAAAGCATTAAGGATATTAATACGAATATTGAAGTGATGGAATTTAAACTGATTTTAATGTGCCATGAATAACAAATGCAACGGGAAACATTTTAGATCCTATAACAATTTAAATCAATCTCGACTTAAACAATTTATGAGCATTTATCCATATACCTGAACCAATACCTGAACCAACGCAAAACCATAAAATTAAGTCCTGAAGACACATAATACACGATAAGTGATGGAGCTGTTGGATCGTTCATAGATGTAATTTCCTTCAGATTACTTACCGCGAACGATCGCGATTGCAATTTTACCTGAGATTGGCAGTATGCCAATAAGCTGTGGCTGTGTTCGGTGGTCGACTGGCTTACATTGACATAGAACAGGCAAATGATGGATGCGTTCTTCCTGACGAAATCCATTACTCATATCGTCTGACACATTAACTCTTGTTCTGCGCTGGAGTACCTCGTCAAGAGCTATTGAAAAGTTAATGAGGCTACGTTAAGGTCAAAGCGGCAGTAACCGTTCACCTAGTAAGGTGTATACATGAAAGGCTCTTTCTCATAAAATATTTTGCGGAAACCAATACTATTATATTTATCAAAAACGTTTATAAAGTTTAATGAATATATGTGAAAATATGTGAAATACGATTTTTTCCCCGCTTGTAATGAGACGATTTTTTTTAATTTTTTTTCACTTGATTTTTTTTATTTTATTTATGTTACGTTGATAGAGGTGAAATATTTACTACTTCAAAAGACCTGTTTGGGCGTAGCTGTTTAATCAGGCCGAATGCAGTTGTATTTTTAGTAATACATTGTACTCGGCTAATCTTCCTGTTTAATTATGTTGGTTTTGAATAGCAGGTATAGCAGACATGACAAATACGTCATTTGTTTGATTTATTTAATGCTTTTAAAGTTTAATAATTATGGATTTATCTGAACAAAGGGTGAAGTCTTATTAGAAGATGATTAAAAAGACAATAAGAGTAATGAATGTAATGGATATGTACTACACAGGTATCTAGGCCTTAGTGCTGGCTATTATTGTTATCTGATTACCTAAAGACCAACTCGGAGTAATGACATTAAGCTGTCATAAAATATAGTACACCGCTACAATCCGGTTGTTACATGACATATATTAGACCTACACAGAGCGAGCCCTAGGCGGTGACTTCATGCTTGGCTGACTATTCATAATACAGCCGTTGTTATATAGGATGATAGGCATCTGTCGCGCTGAATCATCAACGAATGTCTACTTATTCCGTATGACGTATAAAACAGGCGGAAACAACAGCATGATGGCCTGGTTAAAACATTTATTTTAAACGGTGTATACTTCCATATTAGTATCTAAGTACTACAATATATAACCACTATAGATGACTCACAGTTTGTGTGCTGTTTATTGCACAATATCAGACCAGTTTGTTTGCTGTATATTTCACAATATCAGACCTTTTTTTAAACAATTATCGTTTACGTTGGTGGCAGGCCGGGAGGAGAATCACATATTGCATGATTCCGTCAGACATTAATAAATAAATAAATAAATAAATAGTCTTATGATATTTGAGGAATATTTGTCAGTGTTTTTAAAATAATTTGCTGAATGTATGAAGATACATATGTATAAAAAGTTAAAAGTAATGAACGCAGATGTCGGAATCTGGACTGTATTTGATGTTTATTTCCCACGGCAGACTTCCTAGCCAAGGTTATGAAATATTTTGCAAGCTTATCAGCAGCCTGCCCGCTAACCATATACAGTGTAGAGGTCGACATCAAACACACTACGTCATACACGAAAAATACCAGACACATCCTCACACGCAGCCAGTTATACTGCCAATCCCGTGCTGGGAAAAACTGCCTATGAAATTACTTTAGCTTGATTTGATAAGTAATAATTTTCCCTATGAAATGCACATAGAAATTGTACCTGTTTTAGGCAAATACAAATAAAAACATATCTGTCTTTAATTATTCTATATTTCCGTTTTTGGTGTTGGCATTCAAAGGGGCATTTTGTTCACTTCTGCATGGATAATTGATGGATAATTGATGGATAATTTAATGGAATATTTTACTTTTCAACCTTTTTCTAATAGAGCGTTATACAATTAAGACATGCTTCATTTTTTTTTAACTTATAGGAAGAGGGACAATTGTGCATTTGACAGTTTTTAGTATATATGAGTACCCACCATGAAATAATACCTTTAATGCTTATGTATAACCTTTCTTCTATCTTAATATTTTCTAGGTGATGCACGTGCGCGGCCACTTCGTGTCGGTACCAGGGCAGGACTCTGGTAACGAGCAACAAGTGTTCATCTCGGTGTGCTCGCCCCTGATAACCCCGGATGTAAAGGAAACGCTTATTCAGAACAATACCATGGTATTCAAAAGCATACACCATCTGGATATGAACTTCCTGGAAATTTCTCAAAAGTAAGTTTTATCAGTAACATGTAAAAAATAATAATTTGTAATTGATAAAAATATTTGATTAAGTCCATAATTTCTCTTTTAATGGGACTTCAAATAATGAATTGTGTTTACTTATGAAATCAATGAAAAAATAATAGTACATGTATAATGAGATCTGACAATGACCTATTTACGAATTGATATATATATATCTGACTTAAGTGTACACATGCCTCTGCCAAGTTGCCCTTGATTACAGAATTGTCGGCCAGGGATGTTATTGATTATCTCTCATTTGCAACACAAATTCACTGATTACATTTTCCTTGTAGCGGCGAGTATCACCTTGGCATTGAGAGTGATCAAGTTAAGGGAAAATCCTGGTACTCCTGCCTGCATCCTGAGGACATCCATGAGGCCAGAGAGAAACACATTCAATGTAAGTAATCAATAGATATTATACAAAAAAAATCTGTATATATATAAATTTTATATTCATATGAGTATATTCATAAGTGAAAATTGTCCTCCGTTAAAAGTACAAATGATCTGTAGATTCTAATGTTAACTATTTTTGTTAATACAGTGGTTAAGTCGAGGCATGAGATGGGTTCCATGATGACAGTGCGCATGATCACCGGTAACAACGACGTCATCTGGGTCAACATTGTGATGCACGTGCGTCAGGCGTTGCTGTCCAATAGTGACGAACCCGTCATTTTCTGCATCAATCAAGTGATCAGGTAAGCATTGATTACTAGTGAAGAAGACTTCTATCAAAAGATATTCGAAAAGTGCGCTGTATTCCTCTGTCATTTAGTAATTGTATTATTTTCGATAGAATGTCTGTATTAAATACCACATTATTTTATCTTGCAGTGAACAGGAAGCATACCAATTCAAGATTCAGGGGCAGCTCTTTGCTCTTTACGCAACCCGTGCTTCGGACTTCTTCTTTGGTTCTACGTTCTGTGCACCCGTTTCACAAGCCTTGGAGACAGGAATGATTTCTCAACAGCAACAGGGATCACCAAACTTTGCTCAGTCATCATTTTTCGCAGGACAAACAATTTTCGATGCATCTACACCTTCACCCCAAGGGTTCAATCGATCCGCCATGTTTTCGTCTCAGCCAAACCTGTGCATGAGAAACAATGTACCCGGTCAGGTCATGGGACGTCAAGGCCAAGGTCACACAAATACACTGAAGGCATTGAAGAGAAAGTTACAAGAGAACTTCAGCTCCACTTGTAAACCAATCAAAGTCGCGAGAATGGCTCAGGACATATCCTCGGGAAACGGCTTCATGGTTTCTGGAGGAACACCGCTGCCATCTTCGTTTGAAAGTAACTCATATCGCAACATCCATGGCTCTTCCGTAGCTCCTCAGCAAGCGGTTACTACTGGACCCGTGCAGATGATGTACTGCCTCAACAATAACGTCCTCCCAGCCACCAAACAGAAGTCGGTTTTGTCCGACCCCTTGCCAGCATTCGTGGAGCAGACACGGTTGATGCAAAAAGCTCCATCACTAGAGCAAGTTGTGCCAGAATTATCTATTCCCGCCTTCTACCCAACGCCTGAACCATCACCGGTATCATCGCCTCAACCACAGATGAAGCAGGAGATACTCCCAAGCGGTGTCGACCCGATTATGGTGGCCAAACATCTGTGTGCCCTCCGACAGAAGCACGTTAATAGGACACAACAAAGCACTAAGGTATCAAACGCAGAGCCACAAAAGAAACTTTTACCTAGCTTGGACGTGTCGTTTGTGGACTCTTTCTTCGACGAGATTGGGACCCTGGACGGTCAGCCGCTGTCTATCAGAGGGTTGCTCCAACGTGTAAAGCAGGAACCAGTCGACGTCACTGACTACACCTGCCTTCACACACAGGAAAAGCAACTCCCTGCATTTGAACAGTTTGACATCGATGAATTGTTCGAGTCAAGTGGTGTACACTTGAACAACACTTGCAACAACTTCATCGGAATGAAGATGGAAATAGAGGACCAACGTATCCCGTTGTGCGAAAGTCAACCCAGTCCTACGCCTTCATCTCCTCGTTCAACTGTCGAAGATAAGCTTTCTTACGACGACATCATGTCAAGCGTCGTGCTGACACCCGAATCTGACTTCGATACTGATCATTGTGAGGATCTGGACCCCGATTCCTGGATGCTGGAGACGTGTAATATTGATATGTCTACCAAAGGTCTCGACTTGTTTGCCGAACCAAAGCTCCAAACCGACTTTTGTCTGAAAAAGGCTGGCCCTTGCTCAGATGAAACCGAGTTGTATCAACTCAAACAACTTATCTCTTCATGGACACCAAGTGGTAAGCATACATTTACCAATATATATTTATGCAAGCCTAACAAAGAAAAATATTCTGTTTCAACCTTCGGCTCTGTTTTGCACTATATTATTATTCAAAATCATAAAGTAAGTAAAAACTAACCCCCTTGAGTAAGCAATGAATTATCTAGAATAGGTAGGGAAAGCAGAAATTTGATGTAGCGTGGGCATATTTTAATAGCATACATGCTTTAAAATGACAAAATTCCGATAAAAATAGCACAGAATATTAAAAAAAATCACAGAGAGTTGTACAAAGACAATGAAACTGATGTGATCGTCCCTTTTGTGTTTTGCAGGTGTCTCTGAATCAAGTGAAGAATCCCAGTAGGCCGACGTGTAAGTTCCGACTTACGATTTATCCATTGTATGGCATATTGCCATTGGACGTACCTTCGCTCCACTGCTGGACGGATGGACAATGGGCGTCTTCAAAACTCCCGCTGGACGGGAGAAACTTTTTCTACATTGTTTAGAAATTTAATTTAATTTTATTCATGAACAATTTTATATCAAATCAAATGTGCTTTATCTATACCGATTCCCAAGCTCCGCTGGCCGGACTTTGTTTTGGATTAAAAGCATCGGATCTGGAGGTACTTCCTGTTCCGATGTGTATGGCGTCTCACTGGTTGGGACTCATACGTATCCATACTTGTAAATATATTTTCGGACTTTGAAATGAACTTTTTGACGCTAAATATAGATATGTTATGAATTATAGATGTTCTATATTTTCATCCATGTTGATGGTTAGTTATAGCAACATGAATATATATCGTGTTGAGCAGCGCCTTTGAAACATATGCTATTGATAACGTGTTCCTCTCTTATCTAGTACCTTGTCAGTAGATAGTACTATGATTTGTACTTTGAATTGTTGTATGTCCATTTTCCATTGACACACCACACGTGACTTGCTGGTCGAGTACGTAATCACCCTTTATCTAACGATAGGAAAACTGTTCTCGGAATGAGGGAAGAAAGTAGGCTGGATCTCGTTGACCGAGAATGCATCCTTCATTATTTAAGCTGTTTTTTTTATAAACACACAATTTCATTATTCTATACTTATCTTCCAATACACACCGTCAACACTTTTTCTCTGGTCAGTGCGATCAAAACGAGGCTGGTCCTCAAGTATTTTCATTCATCATTTTTCACGAGGCTGGACCTCATATTCATCAATAATTTACATAATAATGAAATTGTTGTGCATCTTATTTGTCTAGCCCTTGTCGCTTATGAGCTTCAAAATGAACGTCACAGGGGGAGGGAGAAATATGGGAGATTAATGCTCTTGCAAATTTCTATGCAAGATTGAAAGACAGATAATTATTTTATAACTTGAAGGCAGCAATGTCACGTCGTTAACCATGTGGCTTTTCAAGTGACTGTTGAGTATAGGTAAATATGACTGACGTACAGTTGGGCGGGACTAACTAACAGTACAGGTAAATGTACTATATCGTTGCTCCTAACTGATACCTATGTCGGGTTTAGTGAGAAACGCAAAGTAGACGTTCATTTCCTAACCGTTGTTAAATTTCATACAATTTTTACCTTGTTATTACAAAACGTGAACTTGTTGTCATGACAGTAGATCCTCACCCGCTGGTCGGTAGATAGGTATTGTCATAACAACGATTTTGCAACCATGGTAACCAATGAGAGGTTATACTTGTGTGACTAAGCTTCTCAGTTGTGTTATTATAATAAACGAAGAAAACAATGCGCACATCGTTTTTTGTCTTTCCTTGTTTGAAGAACGTTTCATTACTGGCGTAACCTTAACGCATTGATCAATGACAGTGCAGGGTCATATAGCACGGCATCATCTATCATATAAAGCGTTGATCCGGAAATTACTTTATCGGAGAGTCATAAAGTTGTCTGTGCTATTACCTGTTACATTAACAATGAAAATGACATTGTTTTGAACGATGTGTTATGTTTTTCTTATGGATACTGTAAATCATGTTCATTTTGCGAGATCAATATTTTAGCAAAGGTTGATTACTTTTTCAGATACATTTCGATCATTCATTTGACAATTTTAAAAATATTAAAAGTATGCTGTTACTTTTTTAGTAAATCAAAAATCTTAAAAGTAAAAAAAAAAATATTCTGAGTCAAATCTTTCTGAAAATTGAAAGGTCCCGCCAAGAAAACTAGAACTCGCAAAAAATCAGTGATTTATGGTATTTGTTGAAAAAAGAGTTTCTGATACGCTAACTAAAAATCAAAACAGTCAAGAGCAAATGAATCACCTGGCCAAATCAGTCAATGATAACAGTACATTTATAGTCTGCAGATCCATAAAAATAGATATTTACGAATGTAGTAGTCAATAGTTTGGTGCTAGTGCAAGTTTATGGGTTTAGAAAAGAGGATTTCCAGAGGTGGTTTTCCCCATAATTATTTGGAAAACAATGAAATAATTCACTCAGCAAAAAGCTATCAAGCTTTATATAGAATAATTATGTTTAACTAGCTGATTCTTCCTTCAAAAGTGAGTTTGGTTTGGTGAAGAGGACAACTGGAAAATCATGTATTTCACGAAGTGGGTATATGAAACCCTCGGGGTCAAGTCATTTAAAGCTTATCGTGATTATATATCAATTACTGTTAGAGCAGTGGTACCATCAACTACATCAATCATAAATCAGTATGTTTGGTTACAGATAATAATACAAATATGTGTGTTCAGAATAATTTTCTTCAGAATATTTGCAAACAAGTTCCACTATCATCTACGATCGGAGATGGGCAAACATGGTTCTTACTAACAATTAATGTTATATTGAGGTACTTCTCAAAGTATAAGACAGACCTGGTCTAACCAAGTTTTTTTCCGTGCCATCTCAATTGCTGCTGTGTCGACACCTCCTCGGTTGATGAGAATTCCGGAATAATTTATCTAATTAGAATAGTCATATAAATATTTAGTGACGTAAAACAAAGGATCCTAGCTGTCTTCGTTTCATTTTCAATGTGATGAGACTTGTTCTAAAGTTTACATTTTATCTTAATGAATCTACATTGCAGATGGACAAAGACTTATTTCCTCGCTTTTAGTAAATTTGGAATTTACACTTCGTCTTGACGTCAAAGATTTAATGATAAGTATTCTTCTTCCGTCTAACCAGGAAAAAATAAAACACAATCTCCATATATAGTTTCTAAGCATTAATCATGTCATTATCACGAATACGTTTACATAATATGTACACTAGACGTATTGCGTACATGTATCAGGAAGTTACTAGGTACGGACGCCAAAACACTGCCTACCATCAGACGCTAAACTTTAGTCGACCGTGTATGTGTGTGTATGCAGCCTACGTGGGCGGGATACAATGTAATAGATGCGGACATACATTCCGCCATTACAATCATATAGTTCATGATCAGTCTGCCGTGTACGTAGGAAACATGATAGTGAAACGGACGAAGACACACATTCCATCATCAGAGCTGAAGCTGACACTGGTTGACTGGATCGCTCACTTAAATGTTTGACAAATTGTACACTAAAAGTTTTGATTTTATCTCGTTTATAAACGGTAATTTAACTTAACTGTTTTGTAATATATTTTTAACCTGTCCGCTTTAAATGACGATAATGTAGCTACTCTAAGGATTGGCTATATAGCACATTACCTGGTTTGTCTGTGGTACATTTGTATGAACCAAGTGATCATATTGCATCAAGTCATGCATTATGCACTATCTGTCTAAGGATTGCGAAATCGCATCGTACTGTTTTAATATCATGGGTACATAGAGCGTTTGGTGAGTCATCCCTTAGGCGTGTCAACAAATGAACTCTTACACTACGTTCTAAAACATGACACGCAAATAGATGGGTGTGTGAAGACATTTTAAAACTGTATAAAAGAGTTATATTTAGATGATTTTATTTGTTTGGTTTTGACACTTAAAACTATGGTTATATTAAGCCGTGACTTAAAATTTTATAACACAAAGAGAAGAGTTTTTTTTCAAAGGGATACTTTCAGAAGTAAGGCGACTAAAATGATCAGGAAAAAAGTGAGTGATACGGACCAAAAACAAAAAACTTGCTATAGTTGTCCATCTTTTTACTTTGGTGTCTCTTCGGTTCCTGCTGTTGTTTGACTTTCCTATCGAAGTGGTGATTTGATTTCTCCTCAGTTACAATTGTTGTCTTTCCTTTACTTTGCTAGGTTCCTGCTGTTGCCGTTTCGTTTGTCTTTTTCTCTCCTCTCTTCTGATGCTGCCTTTCCTATCTAAGTGGTGTTTTGATGTCTCCTCAGTTACAATAGTTGTCTTTCCTTTTCCTTTGCTCGGTTCCTGCTGTTGTCGTTTCGTTTGACCTTTTTTCTCCTCTCTTCTGATGCTGCCATTCCTATCTAAGTGGTGTTTTGATGTCTCCTCAGTTACAATTGTTGTCTTTCCTTTTCCTTTGCTCGGTTCCTGCTGTTGCCGTTTCTTTGTCTTTTTCTCTCCTCTCTTCTGATGCTGCCTTTCCTATCTTAGTGGTGTTTTGATGTCTCCTCAGTTACAATTGTTGTCTTTCCTTTTTCTTTGCTCGGTTCCTGCTGTTGTCGTTTCGTTTGTCTTTGTTTCCCCTCTGGTTCTGATGCTGCCTTTCCTATCTAAGAGGTGTTTTCTTTGTGTCCTATTGTTACGATGTCTCCTCAGCTACAATTGTTGTCTTTCATTTTTCTCTGCTCGGTTCCTGCTGTTGACGTTTCTTTTGTTTTTGTTTTCCCTCTGCTTCTCTTGTTGTCTCTCAGTTTTAAAAGTATTCTTGATTTTATCTTTCCTTTTGCTTTGGTATCACCTTTGTTAATGCTGTTTTCTTACATTACGTTTTGGTGTCTCCTCATTTCATTTTGTTGACGTTCTGTACCCATCATGAGTTCCAGTTAAAAAACAAGCGAAAAGCGAAAAAATCATCGCCTCATACAATACTTACAAAAAATGTGACTTTATTAATATAAACTCTTTGTTATTGAATAATGCTCAACTTTTCAAATGTATAAGCACAAAAAAAAAAAAAAAAAAAAGTTCAAACAGATGTAACAATTTATTAATAATTAGAAAAATCAAATCAATACCGATGTTAACAGTTATACATATATATGCAACGAAAGTAATATCTTTATTCAATCATTCAACCAAATAGTCATTAGTCCTTTTCTTTTGCTTGAAAGGTGTATTATCTAAGAACCTTCTTGATGATATGAACATTACTCAATAAGAAAATTAAGTTAGTTTTCGATTATGTTTCCGTTGGATTCAATTAAAATATGAGAATACCTACCAGTGGTAAATTAGACTACCTTTTAGCCTGCACTCTACATGTACTGTATACCCCAGTCTACAGTCGCATTGGAAAAAAGTGATACTTGAACAAACAATTGATTTTAAGGATCCGTACCCTACTGTAGGCAAAACACTTGATATTTCCATGGTAGTTTTAATACATACAATAACCTCCCCTGCATTTCATTTTGGACATAACTGTAGCACAGAGTGACCAGAACACTTTGGATATCACTGCAGCACAGAGGGACCATAACACTTTGGACATACCTGTAGCACAGAGTGATCAGATCACTTTGGATATAACTGTAGCAGAGAGGGACCATAACACTTTGGACATACCTGTAGCACAGAGTGACCAGAACACTTTGGACATAACTGTAGCACAGAATAACCATAACAATTTGGACATAACTGTAGCACAGAGGGACCAGAGCAATTTGGATATCACTGTAGCACAGAGGGACCAGAACACTTTGGACATAACTGTAGCTCAGATGGACCAGAACACTTTGGACATAACTGTAGCACAGAGTAACCATAACACTTTGGATATAACTGTAGCACAGAGTGACCAGAACATTTTGGATATAACTGTAGCACAGAGTAACCATAACACNCGTAGCACAGAGTGACCAGAACACTTACGATATAAATGTAGCACAAAATGACCAGAACACTTAGGATATAACTGTAGCACA